GGGGGGGGAAGGTGAGTGCAAAATTCCGAGTACCCACACTTTGGCGATTTTTAACGCCAATATCTGGCATTGGAGAATTCCAAAAAAACTTAGGGGTGTTGCTCAGGTTACTCTGCTTCAGGGAAAAGAAAAGAAAAATAATGGAAATGGTTTTAGCCCATTGAAAAATATATTTGCGCCAAACCGAATGCATATTTAAATCAAAGCCTGTTCGACCGGGTAGGAGTGATGTTTCAGGCTGGGCAGACCTGGGGGGTCGGTTCGTACGTGCTGGCTATTGTGAACTGGTGGTTTAACATTAAAAAAAAGCACGCATCACTTATGTGTGTTCATCTTTTAAATGCAGGATCCACTATTTCAGTGCCGGTTTCAAATTTTCAGCCCTGTTTCATGACATCATCAGTACTACTGTTTTTCTTCTCATCTCTAATTTTAATTTATTTTGTTTTTTTTTTTTTAACTTTTTTTGGTTAAAATTGGTTGTTGTTCTGCAGGTCAACTCTGAGAAAGGCTATGCTTTCGCGGAATTCCTCACAATAGAGGATGCTTCTGCTGTACTTAAGCTTGACGGAATCTCCTTGCATGGTAGCGCTTTGAAGATCCGACGGCCGAAGGACTATACACCTGTAACGGTAAGTTCAGAAATTTGAAATTTCTAATGTCTGATGTTTCGATCGACCTTGTGTGTGGCATGATTAGGTCGCACCGACAAATGACAATCTTGGGGATGAGAACTCACCTTTTTGCGCATTGCACACAAGGTTTTGTGAATGAAGGGTGAAAAAAAAAATAAAAAATTAAGGGTGAAAAAAGAAACAATTAAGGGTGAAAAAAAAGAGGTTTTGTGAATGAAGGGTGAAAAAAAACAACAATTAAGAGTGAAAAAAAAAGCAATGTGGTGGAGGATGGGCTAGGTTCAGTTGCCAGATTCATGTATACAATGCATATGACAAGTGCAAAAAAATGAATATTGAAGTGAATGATGAGTGAAATGATGTTAACGGAGAGATTGATTAGTGACGCTGGTTGCTGGTGATGATTGTCTCAACGCTACTGGTGTTCCGTGGAAGCTAAGAAAAATTATAAACAAACTAGCTTACCTGTTGTGGCTACCCCCGCAAAAAAAAAAAAAAATGCAAATGAAAGCAGCCAGCATGAGGGGTGTGTTGGGGTGGGTGAAGTTGGATAGCAACTGACCTATTTGGTCAACATCAATTTCACATATCCTACCTTGTCAGTGCGCACTTTCCCTCGGTGCGCACAAAGCAATATTTTCCAGACCTCGAGATCGACGCAATCTTTGCCTGCGAGGGGTTCCTGTTTCCGCTTTGTTCTTTTTTTTGGGGTCTAATAATGACAGCGAGCCAGTCAAAACCACTTGTGCGTGTCCTTCGGGACATCCCTTAAAATTGGACGATACAGAGAAGATTAGCATGGCCCCTGCGCAAGGATGACACGCATAAATCGAGAAATGGTCTAAATTAAAAAAAACAAAAACAAAAAAAACCCACCTGTGCGTCTGTGTGGGTGTGCACGTGTGTGCACGTGTGTGTGTGAGTGTGTGAGTGTGTGTGTGTGTGTGTGTGTGTGTGTGTGTGTGTGTGTGTGTGTGTGTGTGTGTGTGTGTCATGTACCGTATACACAACTCCACAAAGAAAAGCACGACTCTGCCAGACTGTTTCGTCGGACTTTCACCGGCTCATCAGGAGGTTTTTCCCCAACAGTCTGCCCAGGATGCATTTGACTGATGGATAAGAACACGTCACCCAGAGTTAGCGATGCCCCTGCAAAAAGCGGTTGAGTTTACTCAGACCAACCCTGCAATGCATTTGTCTATCTAATGGATAACCACTTGCCACATCACCCAGAGCTCGCGATGCCCCTGAGAAAAGTGGTCGACTGACACCAACCCTCTCTCTGTTTGTGTAAGTCTCGGTTTGGTGGGCGAAGAGTGATTGATTGTCGTTAACTTAAAAGAGTGCCATCGTTGTTAAGCAGGTCCTATACTGTAAGGATGGAGTATTCAACATCCAAGCTGTTTGGCATTTGCTGTCTGCTACAAAACATGCGAGCAGCCGTAATGCTGGGCATGCATCTTGAAGCATTTCATATGAGAAATTAGGCAAAGAAGAAATGATTGGGAAGTGTCAGAAACTCCTTTCTGACTGCACCGACCCTACTCCTCACGCTGCCCTGAATTTGCTTTACCTCCGGCGTTGTGGATTCTGGTCGTCGATTCGAGTGAGCTGTCACTTCGTGGGCTCGCATTTGCGCTATTCTACAACCATGTTTCATTTACTGATCCAAAACAATATTATGGAAGTTTTTTTCAGAAAAAAAGGTATGAGACAGAGAGCTCTTAGCAGCTTACCACGTGGATTGCTCTCCTCCCTTCTCTCTCTTTCTCTCTGTCTCTGTGGCGCGCACACGCACGGGGCATCAATGTGCAAGGCGGATGAAACCTTTAGGGGCAGGGGGTGATGGGGAGGGGCAGCCATGCAATCTCTCTCTCTCTCTCTCTCTCCACGCCTCCCCCCTCTCACACCTGCAAGACATGCCACCTCGATTGAATTGAGAGAGAGAGAGAGAGAGAGAGAGAGAGAGAGAGAGAGAGAGTAGATCTGCTTTTTCGCCCCACCGGATGCCATGTCTGAACCAAGTAGATCAGCGTAGAGTAGCATAGATTACCGACTCTCTCTCTGTCTCTCTCTCGCGTGCAGTAGTAGCAGTAGACGTCGTTGCAAGACTTGATTCTCTCCTTGGGGGTAGTTAGTCTGATTGGAGGGGGCGGGTCGTCATAGGAGGGGAGCACTATACAGAAGTCGCGGGTCGTCATAACATTGCACAAAAGTCGCGCGTGGAAGAGTAGAGATGTCGAGCGTCGTAGAACAGTGTAGCGTTGTAGAACTCTCTCTCTCTCTCTCACACACACACACACACACACACAAACACACACACACACACACACACACACACACACACACACACACACACACACACACACATGCTCGTAGTTCAAAGCGAACAAAGAAATGAAAGGAACAGACATCAATAAAAAAGTAGAGTTAACTCACCGTCAGTCATCATAGCATGGCCGTCTGAAAGTCTCGACGCAATGCACTGCTCAGCGTCCAACCTTCAGGATGCGGAGCCCAACCTCCGTCAATTAAAAAAAGCTTAGTGTGCAACTCCATAAAAGAGAATATGACTAAGCCAGACTGTTTCGTCAGACTTCCACCGACCCATCAGGACAACTGCATAAAAAATAGCATCGCTAAGCCAGACTGTTCCGTCGGACTTCCACCGACTCATCAGGAGGTTGAACCCCGACAGTCTGCCCAGGATTCATTTGACGTGTGTGTTTGTCGGGTCTCGTTCGTGTGTGTGTATCCACATGCGAAGTCGAAGTCGAGCGTGGTAACATACGATAGGAAAGTGGAAGGCTATAGTACCGAGTAGAGTGGTGTAGCGGTCGGTCTTTATCGTGCCGTAGGTTTTGCCCGTGCCGCACCAAAAAAGTGCGTGCCCCACCCAAAAAACATTACACACGCCGCCTCCGAAAAGAAGTTAGTTACATAACCCCACCTGTATGCACTGTTCAGATATTGGTCTGGCCTGGGGAGTGCCTCGGGCGGTACCACCATGTCGGCTAAAAATTGGCCTGGGGAGTGCCACGCACGGCACTACCGGGCCAGGGCGACCGGCCCAGTGATCGTCTTGAAAACGATCAACACGCAATCTGGACCACGCGGAACAATGCCGACGGCGGTCCAGATTGCGAGTTGATGATATCAAAAACGGTCACCAGAAACTGAGGGCCCAGATCGGCTGCTGGTCACAGGCAGCCAAATAGCGATTGTTATATATGTAGTGAAGTGATTTTACTGTGAAATTGGGTTGTCGGAGGCTGGGTCTTGTGTGGCTCCAATCCAAAGAGATGTGTTGGAAAAAAGAAACAACTGGCTTCATGTATGGCACACAATGCCACACATTGGGCCTTGCTCCACTACTCACTGCATGCACAAAAGACAAAATATGGCGGTGCATCTTACCCTGTTTTACCAGAAGATTCATTCTCGTTTTGCACATTTGTTGTGGAGCAAGGCTCATTGATTGTTCTTGGCTGTTATATGAATCTGGTTCCGGTTGTTGTTTTTCGGAAAGTCGATGATTTTCCTAAAAAAAATCCATTTTTCAATGATTTTCCCCAAAACAGGGAAGGCGGTTGGAGAAAAGCACTGTAAACACGTTGCTATAGCTTCCTAATTAAGTCTACCCTGGTTTATTCTGTTCGAATGTGACTCGTTGGCTGAACTTGGCTCTGTTTTCGTTGTTGCATGCACAGCAAGGTACCACTGGCACTGGAACAGCTGGAACTGGTTCGACCGAGGCCTCAGTGAATCATGTTCTTGATGGACCGAACAAGGTAAGTCAGCAGAATCGGATGCAGACAAAACATAAGCGAAGCGCATGGTTACAAAATTCTTCTCCCTCCCTTCCTCCCTCCCTCCCTCCCTCCCTCCCTCCTTCACTCCCTTCCTCTGTCCCTCCCTTCCTCCCTCTCTCCATCTCTCTGTCTCTCTCTGTTTATGGTATGGAAGGCTAGGTGCTTTCTGTAAACCTCCCACAGGAGATCGCGCAGGGAAGCGCAGGAGGCGCATGTAGCAGCAAATATATAGGAAGGAAGGAGAGAGGGAGACAGCCTTGCACACATGCACACATACTTGAGGGAGGGAAGGGGGGCGGGGGGTGTGTTTGTGTGTGTGTGTGTGTATGTGTGTGTGTGTGTGTGTGTGTGTGTGTGTGTGTGNTGTGTGTGTGAGAGAGAGAGAGAGAGAGAGAGAGAGAGAGAAGGTCGGTGTGACAGATGTTAGTGATGGCAGAGTGGTGAGATTGCTACTTTTGTATGTATCATTAGTTCGCCAATGATGGCCTCCTGTCCAGTCTCTTTAAGACACCTGGGCACTCTGCAAATCCCTGCAAGCTTTCGCGAACCCCTGTAAACCCCTGTAAATGTACTTGAGTGCTTGTTTCACTGGAACCGTGGGCATATGCTGTGGTTGTCCCACAACTGTGGGCAAACGCGTACTGTGAAGGTGAAGGTCAGACGCCTTCTGCGTATGCTTTGTGCGCGTGTTACAATGCCCACGGGAGACTTTACAGGTCTTTGCATGCCTGGATCTATCAGATAGGTCCAGCCTGACTGATCTTGCTTGATGGCCAAATGAGTCTTTGCTTCTGCCGGCGGGCGAGATTCGTCAATGAAGATGTTATTGGGCCGGCCATTGTTATTAGATCGAACCTTGTCCTGATGGTGGGCCGGCATAAAGTGTGAGTTATCCCTTACACAAATACCTTATTTCATTTCTGATTTCGTGAAACATATGGTGGGCTGGTTACAAATTGATGTCATTGTTGTTTGTGTTCTCTCTCTCTCTCTCTCTCGTCTCTCTCTCTCTCTCTCTCCCTCTCTCTCTCTCTCTCTCTTGTTCTCCTTTCTCTCTCGCTCTCTTTTGCGTATGTGCAGGTGTTCGTGGGCGGCATTCCACCATCTATTGATACAGATAGGGTAAGGGAGTTTCCCATTTCTATTGCATTATTTCAGGGGTGTCATGTCTTTTTGGGTGTGTACATTTTTTGGGTGGTCCATCCATTTCCTTTTTTTTTTTGTTTTTTTTGGGCTTGTTTAAGTGGCAGTGGTGGTGCACTGACGCCGCAAAACAACCAAAGTGGAATAGAGGGCATAAATAATGATCACGTTTATAAAACGTGATGAAGAGAGTGATTTGTAAATGAACCCAACTTTAGAAGCTCACAATCGAGGCTCAAATTAATGACAACAATGGGGTTGAGACAAGACTGTGTGAAGAAGAAGAGCAAGGGCGTGGAAAGTAGATGAAATAGTGATTACAATGTTCAAGTTGCTTCTCTCTCTCTCTCTCTCTCTCTCTCTCTCTCTCTCCCTCTCCTTCCTCCGGCCTATTCTCTCTCAACCTCAATGTATCCCTCCATAGCCATAGCCACTCGAGAGAGAGAGAGAGAGAGAGAGAGAGAGAGAGAGAGAGAGAGAGAGAGAGAGAGAGAGAGAGAGAGAGAGAGAGAGAGAGAGAGAGAATGGCTATGGCTTCTCCCCACTCCAACACAATGTCACTCTCCAATCCGATCTCTCGCTAGCGCCAACCTATCGCAGGTTAGCGCAATTATGCAGGAATTTGAAATGAGAACGCAGGCCTTCTGAAGCAGCCGGGAGTCTTGTTCTTCGATCACGACCACATGGTCACCTTGAAGCTATGGTGGTGACCTTCCCTCTTATTCCTTGAACCCATGACCTTTTCAACGCCAGTGCCACACTGTCTCCCTGTAGCACAAGGGCCATTAGAAAAAAAAGTCTTGAAAGATGAATGCCGATCTCCCTCCTCCTTTCAGAGTCTTCTTCTTCTGGTGGATATGGGTAGACTTCCTCGTCCGTCATGTCAACTCTTCTTCGATCATTACCACCTCCTTCCTCCCAATCTCCACCACAGACCTCTCTCTGTAAGGCGCAGACTTGTACCTGTCAGCACACCATCCTCTCGCAAGCGTTGGATGAAGAATGGCAGGCACATGTGACCACTGGGCTCCTCCTTTGCAGCATCTATGGGTGAACATACTCCAGGTAAGCTTCCTCCTCCCCCAAGCCTTGAAGTCTACCTCATATCGCTCTACCTTCTCTCACTCTCATCTCTGGTGCGTCAGCACCTCGTGATGGGCTATGCTACCGTGCTCTCTCACTCCAGCTTTGGCAGCCTCACGCTCTCTTTGCCTGCCTTCTTCTCTCCACAGTGCTAGCGCAGTGGCTCCCCGTAGCACTCTAACAAGTCCAAGGGAGAATGAACGGACGAGCTGGGGCAGAGCCAGATTTTCTGTTGTTGACTTGGTCTCCCCTGGCCCAGTTTGCCTCCTTAGATGGATGAGATTTCTGTACGGCCAAGGATTTCGCGGCCAGTGTGTGCCTTGACCCAGCGAGCCCTTGAAGCTTCCGGAAACTGTTGTTGAGGCTTTGGATTTTGTGTGATCTGTGGCTGTGGTCGACTCCTGGAGAATCTTTGCGTCTTTGACTTCTGTACCCGGGGCAGGTGTGACTGCGGATTTTCCTAGGGCCTACTTTGACTTCTGTAGGCCCTGAGCACCTCGATTTCGGATCTTCTTCTTCTTCTTCTTCTTCTTCTTCTTCTTCTTCTTCTTTTTCTTCTTCTTCTTCTTCTTCTTCTTCTTCTTCTTCTTCTTCTTCTTCTTCTTCTTCGCCCTGAGCATCTTGATTTCGGATCTTCTTCTTCTTTTTCTTCTTCTTCTTCTCCTCCTCCTCCTCCGACCACGTCGTCGTCTTCTTCTTCTTCTTCTCCTTCTTCGTCGTCGTCGCCGTCTTCTTCTTTTTCTTCTTCTCCTTCTCCTTCTCCTTTTTCTTCTTTGACCTCATGACTTCTGACATTTTACTGCTCAAGGATGGAGCAAAGGTGTGAAATTGTGAATATATAATCCCTTTTCCTATACGTTGACTTCTTGCTGGCTTCTTGCAGAGAGTTGTGGACTTCAGGATGATGAGGATGGTGGTGATGGTGACGATGGCGATGATGATGATGATGACCATGACGATGATGACGATGTTATATTACAGATCCAGACAGAGAGTTGTGGGGTCTTGTCTCAGGATTTAAAAAAGGTTTTATGGTTGCATATTGAAAATTGGGAAAAAATTACTCACCCTGTATCCAGATTGGAACCAGAAGACATATGTAAGGTCTCTGATGGGCGTATCTGACTACAATGCTGGCCAGATTCAATCAAAGATGTGGTAGCAGGAGTATGGCATTAGTTGTGTCCTGTGATTTGTGCTGCAGTTCTTTGTGTAGCGTATGTGACTGTACTGATGACCTTTTTCTTGACAATGTCATGACGTTTTTTTCTTTTTTTTTTGGGGGGGGGCGGGGTACTGTGCGCCCTATGCACTATGAAGCTCAAAGAGGTATTGTCTGCATTTGGTCAAGTGAAGACGTTCCGACTGGAAGTGGATGCTTCGAAAAGTCCTCCTGAGATGTATGCCTTTCTGGAGGTGAGTTGGCTTTCCTCCTTCCCATCTTAGGGTGTGTCCCTCATCCACTCTTTTCCTCCTGGATTATTATGTCTTTTTTTTTTTTAGTTTCTTTCTTCTTTTGTTTTCTTGGTTTTGGATAAGGAAAATCGCAAAGACTGGAGTTCTTAGGGCATCGCTGACACTTGTACTTTCCTGAATGTGTCTAATTGCAATTACGGTCATGTACAGTCAACAAAGTCCTGGTGTGAGTAACGCGCTCTTAGTTGTTTTTTTTTCGCGGTTGTGAAGAAGTTTAGTCTGTCTGTCTGTCTGTTTGTCTGTTTGTTCAGGTCTCTCTTTGGATTTCTGTTTTTATAACTTTTTTAACCACCAGTTCTCCGGGGGTGATTTTCGCCTGACGAAAATTTCCCATCGAGTATGTACTGAACCAGCCGCAGGCAGGCCGGTACATCAAAATAACAGTCGCCACACATACAGGCAAAAATTTATGAAAAATTTATGAAGGCCTCACCTGTACTGGTGGTTTAACAACACCTTTCCTTCAACAAGAAAAGCAATAAAAAAAAGAAAAAAGAAAAAGAGGAAAAAAAGATTACATTATTTACATATGAAGAACAAATGATAAACAATGTTTCTTTTGCTGTGCTTCAGAAGAAAGGCTTAACTGTTTGTCCCTATGGAATTTCCAACACATTTGCAAGATTGGCAAATGGTTTTGTTATGCCAATCGGGTTAACCATATTTATTACCATCATGTTATGATCATAGGTCTTTGGGACTTCATTTCATTTGGGGTAGATATATTTGATTGTACAGCGGCTACAGCAGAGGTTCTGATGTGTGAGAGAAAGTCCACAACACACTTGCAATCATCACGTAGCGTAAAGGAACTATGAAGAAAGCACTTGAAACAGTATAAAGTACTTGAATTGCATGTCCTGGTGGGGTTTTGCTCAGGCAAACAGATTTGACACCTATGTATGCTTTTATATATATGCGATGGGGTGTGAACCGACAGTCTGTGGAGTTTTCCATCTGGTGTGGGTGAGTGATAGTCTGCTTTGATTTTCGTCACTGTTTCGTCGGAGTTTCACCGACTCATCAGGAGGAGGCTGAACTCTCAACAGTTTGCAGAATCCCCCCTAACTGATTACACTGTGAGTGATAATCCACCTTGACCCCGGCTGCAGTTAAGCATCAAGGACTGCCCGACCACTGATACCCTGAGGTTGGCACCAACCACTCTAATTTATTAATAAATTAATAATACATTAATTAATATAAAATAAGAATAAAATATAGTCAAACAGAATTGCCCGGTAAACTGTAGGCAGAGAGGGAGAAGAGGACAACAAATGAGGGGCTGTGACAAACTGTTTCGTCGGAGTTTCACCGACTCGTTAGGAGGCTGAACTCTTCTCTGTATTGTCCCGATTTTAGCGGATGTCCTGAAGGACGATACCTATGTATGCTATGTTGTGTTTGGGTGAAAACTGCCATCTTTGATTGGTATGGTTTTTGTGTCATGATCGTCTGGTGTGTTTGTGGGGGCCGGGTGTTGCAAACAGTACACGGAGCCTTCAGTGACGTTGAAGGCATGCGCAGGGCTCAATGGAATGAGGCTAGGAATGGGCATGCTGTCAGTAGTCCAAGCAACACCAGATAGTCGCCAACAGGTAAAGTGAATTGCAGTGCGGTCCCTCTTTTCTCTTCCTTTCTTCTCTCCCTTCCCCACTCCTCCCCCCCCCACCCCCACCCCCCTTCCCCCTCCTCCCGCCTTACTACTGGTTAATGCAAGTCGATGTGAACTGTTGACAGTCTTTTAATTAGTAGTTTTTTTTCCCGTTTGCCAGTCAGCCGACAACAATCGCTACCCATTTGCTAGAAGAGGAGAATGCTTTCCTTTTCTTGTGCCTTTCGGACTCGTTCCCTTTTTCACAGTTGTCGTTCCGTTTTGCTCGTGTCCTTCGTATTTGTTGTCCGCCAGGGTTGCATACCTGCCAGGCGCGGACCCTGACCGCCGACAGTTTTGGAGCTGACCAGTAGGGCCAACCGGTCGGCGGTCTGCCGACCAGTCAGAAAACAGCCACCCACTTAGTTTTTTATTGAAATCTCAGTTTGAGTGCAGCCCAAATCTGCTGAGAAACTTCTGGGGATGGCAGGGGGTATGGGGGGGTGTATTGGGGGGGTATAGGGCTGTCTCTTATACACATCTAGATGTGTATAAGAG